GGGGGGGGGGGGGGGGGGAAGAGAGAGAGAGGGAGAGGGAGAGGGAGAGGGAGAGGGAGAGACACACGGGAGGCAGGGTGGTAGAGAGAGAGACTGGGGGGTGAGAGATAGAGACAGAGAGGCGGGGGGTAGGGAGAGAAATGGGGGGAGGAGAGAGAGAGTGCATGCGCGCATGAGTAGGGGACAAGAGAGTGTGTGTGCAGGTGTGTGTGCATGTGTGTAGGAGAAGAAAGTATGTGTGTGTCTCTGTGTGGAGGGAGAGAAAGTGTGTGTTTGTTGAGAGAGACAGACAGACAGACGGAGTGAGTGAGTGCGTGCATGCTTGACTGTGTGGTGGGGGTTCAGAGAGAGAGAGTGAGAGTGTGTGTGTATAAAGAGAGGGGGAGGGAGAGAGAGGGGGGGAGAGGGAGGGAAAAAGAGAGGGGGGACAGAGAGGCAGATGGGGGGGAGACTGGGGGAGAGAGACAGAGATAGAGAGAGAGAGGGAGACACAGTGGGAAAAGACAGGGAGACAGACAGAGATGGGGAGAGAGAGATGGGGGTTGAGAGAGAGAGAGACAGGGAGAGACAGAGATAGAGAGAGAGAGATGGGAGGGGAGAGAGAGAGACAGAGAAGGAGACGGGAGGGGAGAGAGAGACAGAGAAGGAGACGGGAAGGAAGAGAGAGAGAGAGAGAGAGACGAGAGAGAGAGTGTGAGTGTGAGTGTGTGTGTGCGTGTATTGAGAGGGTATTTTCCCATCATGCTTGCACATCTACAAAATCTGGCTTCAAAATCAGAATCTAATACAGTGCTTCCAGACCTTTTTCCACTACGAATCCAATTTCAGAATTACTGAAAGTGACTGTCACCCCCTCAATGAGAATTGTCAGATGAGAAGGGCCCCGTCTCCTAGAACAGCTGTTGTAACTCTGAAGGGCCATGCTGCCTCAGAATCCACTTCCCACCAGGGTCCCGACCCCTGCTTTGGGAGGCACGCTCCCAGTTCATCAAGATTCGGCAATGTGGCTGAACAAAAAGACCTTAAATATTTGTTCCCTTTAAGCCCCTGAACTACACTGGTTGGGATCAGAGGTCAGATTAACTGAGCCATCTCCCACCTAAATCAAATAAAACCCTTTTCTCAACTTAATACAAGTTTCAAAAAAACCCCACAAGTAGCTTTAAAGTAAAAAAATTCTCTGATTGGCCATTCACTAACTTCTTCCTGGTTATTTACACAAGTTCCTGTAAAACCGAGGCTGCTGTAGCCCTTGGAAACCCAATGTAACGGCCCTGATATAATCCTTTGGGTTTTCCGCAGTTTGTTTGCATGTTGGTTCTAGATCTCAGGTCGGACATGAAGATCAGCTCTGTGGAAAATCCCCCACATCCTACTCATACCAATATGCAAAGCAACAAGCAAAGACTGTAAACCAGAGTAGGAAAAAGAAAGACTAAAAAAGCTTTCATTTCGTGATCAACAGTCATCCACAATCCCAACTTTACCCAGAGGCTGGGGGTAAAGTCAACAAGTAAGTAAAAATGATGATTTCTGTTTTACAGAAATAGTGAGTTCATACTTGGCTTTCTGCTTTAGGTATTGAGGCACCATTAACATTAAGCAACCCTCAGATGAACAATTTCATTTTATTTTGTTGAAATATACCGGTTGGTTTGATTGATATTGGTGAGGATGGGTTTGCATTAGATCAGTGATTTTTAACCAGCTGTAAGAAGTGACTGAAATTTTGTACAAAAAGGTAATGAAAATCAATGCAACACAAACATTCTTCCATCTTAAACAATATTCAATCCAATTAAAATCATAACTCAAAACTCTGTGCAGCAGTTGCAGTATTTTGTTCAGTGAATCTAGCTTGTCGTGTGCACTATGTTGCAAACCTCTCTAGTAACATAGTAAATGCAAGTAAATGTGACATTTATGAGCAATTAATTCAGCTGATAAGAGTGGGCAGGGGGTGGTGGGAATTTTCTGTCTCATTGAAATGTGTCATACTACTGAAAAGGTTGGGAACCATCGAATTAGATGGCACGCAGAGTCTTCAAGGGAGCAGTTCATTTAGATGAATCATTGATGGATAGTTGGTGACTGTGGGATTCGGGACGCCAACTTTACCCAGAGAATACCCAGGAAAGTAAAAATGATGATGATTTCTGTTTTACAGAAATAGTGAGTTGACATTTAACTTTGGGGTATTGTGACACCATTTCATTGTTCAACTGGGAGTTGTGTAATTTCATTTTTTTCTTGTCTAAAATATACCTTCTGGTTTATTTAAAAATATCAGCCTTACCTCATTCTTTCTGATTGGCAGGATCAGATTCGCAGTCAGCCCCTATTAAAAACAAAAGAGACAACACAGATAAGACTTTTAATCAGGTTATCAATGGCAAAACTTCAAAATAAAAATGATCAGAACACTGCTACGACATGCTAAATCATTGCCAGGGTCTGATTTCTCAACACAGTGAAGTTGAGCCTCCCTCATGTCTGGGCTCTAAAGTTCCAGAGCTTCTACAAAGGGGTTGCTCAGATTGAAGTAAACGCCAATCAATCAATTTGTCCTCTGCTGCCCACCAGCCACTGCCTCAGCAACAGCCAGGACATCAGTGGGATACAAGGTAAGAGGTGATCCTCATGGCAGAGATGAGAAGGCAACACAAGAGTTTGTTTTCTGATTGATGACACAGTTTGCACATGCCTCAATGGGGAGGCCATGGCCTAGTGGTATTATCACTGGACTCTTAATCCAGAGAACCAGATAATATTCTGTGGACCCAGGTTCAAATCCCGCCACGGCAGATGGTGGAATTCGAATTCTATAAGTATCTGGAATTAAGAGACTAATGATAACCATGAATCCATTGTCCATTGTCCATTGTCGATTGTCAGAAAAATCCACCTGGTTCACTTTAGGGAAGGAAACTGCCATCTGTACCTGGTCTGGCCTACATGTGACTCCAGACCCACAGCAATGTGGTGGACTCTTAACTGCCCTCTGGGCAATTAGGGATAGGTAATAAATGCTGCCTGGCCAGCAATGCCCTCATCCTGTGAATGAATAAAGGAAAAAAACCAGCTCCCCTGTGCTCCCTCTCAGTGTGAGATTATGAGCTGGGCTAACTGGATTGAAGGATGCACTTATTCACGTAAATGCAGCCAGGGTGAGGGAATGAGAACAAGCAGAGAGAAAGACTGACTGAAACGTCAGCAAATGTCACAGAATCACTGATGAGGAAACTTTTCAGTAATTTTTTTTTCCCCCTAGTATTTTTTGGAAGAAGCCCTTTCCCTATGAGAGTTTAAATCAGGCAATTTCCAAAGGCTGGGATATGGAACTGGAGTAATAGATAGGTTTTTGAATGTGCTGGCACCTGGGAATTTTGTGGGTACTGGGAAGGTCCGCTTTTTGCTCTTTTAATTTTATAGTCACTTGCAGTTTGAACTTCTGCTTTTATACCGTTCCAGTGAAACTTAATGGAAATTTAGGGAACAGCACCTTGTCTTTTGACTGTACACGTTACAACCTCCCGGATTCATAACTGTTTTCAACAATTTAAGATGATAACTAATATTACCATCAGACCCCATGCTTCTGCCTTTGCCACTTAGTGATTGTCTAGACCCATTTTTGTTTTCCTCACTTGCCCCACTATTCTCCCTTCTGACTTGCGCCATAAGACCACAAGACATAGGAGCAGAAACAGGCCATTCAGCCCATCAAGTCTGCTCTATCATTCAAGAAATTCTGCCTCATCTTAGATGGGCCATCGTCTGGTTGTCACTCCTATCTTCCAGTTAACCACAGACCTTCCCTTTCAATCATTCCTCCTTCCCTTTGTTTTATTTGGCCCTGTACTGGTTCGAAATCCCATTCTGCCCACGCCATCGTCCAGCTCTGACCGAAGTTCATCAGACCTGGAAAGTTGGCTCTGGCTCTCTTACTGCACAGTCGCTGCCAGACCTGCTGAGAATTTACACCATTATTCTATTTTAATTTCTGCTTTTTGACTTGCTGTTGTGTAATTGGTGGAATAATCCAAAATCAGAACACCTGGAAGTATTAGTGTTGGCAGCTTAAGATATACACAGACTAACGGGAACACAGACTTTACCACTGACTCTGACATTTTACACCTTCTGGTGAGTTGCAATCCAGCTTTTAACTCAATTCTGTTCTTGCCAGTGACTACATGTAGACCCAATAAAAAAGTAACTTGCAATGGGTTTTTGACGGGGGGTATCGTTCAAGAGGGTCGGCTCTGATATCTCAAATTTCTGAAATTAAAACAGAAAATGCTGGGAGAGTCAGCGGATTAGTAAGGATCTGCAGAGAGAGAAACATTGTCAGCATTTTGAATCTGAATGATTTCTTCTGAAGCTTGTTCTGAAGAAGAGAGTCATATTGGACTTGAAACATTAACTCTCTCTCTCTCTCTCCACACATGCTGCCAGACCTGCTGAGTTTCTCCATCACTTTCTGTTTCTATTTCTGATTTGATCTCTCTCCTGGAAAAATCCACTGTGCTGTCGATTGTATTAAAAAATGCAATTTTTGGAAAAAGACTCTTCTCCAATAAGAGCTGATAGGAGGATTTTGAAAAACTAACATGCCAACTATTTGCAGTAAAGGAGACAGAATGAGATGACAGTGTGTCATGTAACTATCAAAGAACAACATAAACAACAGGACCAAGACTTGACTCTTCAAGCCTCCTTCATTATTCAGTAAGACCAAAGCAGATCTTCAAAAACAAGTCCACTATTCTGGTCTATTCTCATCTCCAATTCCTTCAGTATCCAAAAATGACTTACTGGCTACAGATCCCTGTGGCACAGAATTCCAAAGATTCACAGTCCTCTGAGTGAAGAAATTCTTCATTTCAATCCTAAGTGTTCAACCCTTAATCCTGAGACTGTGACCCCGAGTTCTAAATTCTTCAGCTAGAGGAAGAACCTCTCACTGTCTACCCAGAAATACACTGTAAAAATTTAAAATGCTTCAATGAGATCACCTCTCGTTGTTCTAAAGAAGGGCTCATTATGCTCAACCTCCCCTCATGGGGCAATCCTTCCATTCTGGATTTTGTTAAAGATATGAATGATATCGGCCTGGCTTCTATAACTTGGAATATGACATAAGCAATGGTGCCAGGGGCTGCAGGAAAGGAGCACATTGTCAGGACCCCAGGGACAATGTTGGACAGAGGCAACTGGGGGAACAGAGAGGGTGAAGTCTGAGGAGAGGGAAAGATGGCCTTTTGAAGCTGTTTCAGTTTTGGAACATTAATTTATTCAGTATTTTACCATTTACACAATTTTTTCAGTAATTAATTCTGTAATTCAAGATGGTGCCAGGTAGTGGTGAGATTATCCACTCCATTGTACCTCGGTACAAGTGAAATTATATTAAATAAATAAATGTAGAAAGGACTGAGTTTGGCACGCTATCGGAAGGATGTGAATGCATTGGAGTTTTGTTTTTATTCATTCACAGGATGAGGGCATCGCTGGCTAGGCCAGCATTTATTGTCCATCCCTAATTGCCCAGAGGGCAGTTGAGAGTCAACCACATTGCTGTGGGTCTGGAGTCACACATGGGCCAGACCAGGTAAGGATGGCAGTTTCCTTCCTTAAAGGACATTAGTGAACCAGATGGGATTTTCCAACAATCGATAATAGATTCATGGTCATCATTAGATTCTTAATTAGAGATTTTTATTGAATTCAAATTCCACCATCTGCTGCAGTGGGATTCGAACCTGGGTCCTCAGATCACCTGGGTCTCTGGATTAATAGTCTAAAATAATACCACTAGGCCATTGCCTCCCCCGAGTGGAGAATACGTTTAGGAGCATGGCTCCAGGAATGAGAAATTTCAGTTATGAAGATAGACTGGAGAAATTGGGACTGTTTTTCTTAGAGAGGAGAGGCTGAGGGGAAATTTGATAGAAGTTTTCAAAATCATGAAGGTTCTGGACAGATCAGATATGAATAAACTGTTCCTGCTTGTGAAAGATTCAAGGACCAGAGGGCACAGTTTGAAAGGGTTTTTCAAAAGAAGCAAATTTTCACTCAGTGAGTAGGTAAGGGCGAGACTGCACTGCCTGGAAGTAAGATGGAAGCAGGTTCAACTGAGGCACTCAAGAGAGCACTGGATAATTATTTCACTGAAAGATTGGGAAAATCCAGGAGATTGGCACTAAGTTAAAATGCTCAGACAGCCTGTAACAAGTTTGTGGAGTGCACAGATTCCTTTGTGGTATAAAATCGCCATAGTCTTACCAGATTACGCTTAGAGAGAGCGAGCGAGAGATGAATTTAACTTGGGGATCACCACGCCTCAGGCAAGGTTAGAGGTTGAGGAGGAGAGACCTGCATGGTAACTTCAGTTGGTATGGGAATTGAACCCATACTGTTGGTATCGCACTGCATCGTAAATGTACTGTACTGACCAGTCAACTGAACTAACCAACTCCCTACCTCCAGTGTACATCTTGTGGGAAGATTCAGCTAAAAAATCTAGCCACCAGAGGACACACTAACCACAAAGAATGACGACCCCATAAACAGAGAAATTTGTCAGTGAGTGACCAACACTTCAGGATTGCTCTGGTGTCTACAGGAATTGAAGATTAATTTCGAGGATAATACCACAAAAAATCCAGGTGGAAAAAAAAGTTTTTGTTTAGATTTTCAGGTTTTTTTTATCAGTTAGAAAAATTCAGAGAGATGGGGGAAGAAGGGCTGTTGATGTACACATTCACAATAATGAAATCACTAGTATTGGTATCCCTACTGTTGGCTGGTGTTGCTGAGGAAGGAACATGGGCCTGAACACTAGGAGCTCTCTCTAATCTATTGCTGAAGTTTAAAGACAGCTCCGCTTACATGACATTTTGATGAGAATCATTTACCTTTTTTAAAACACTGTCTGATTCCGTCCTGCGAAGGTCCTGTCCATCTTCTACTTCATCCTTCTCTCCGCCTGTAGGTAAAGATGCTGTAGTTTATCGCTCAGTAACTGATCGCAAAGAAATTCACGTAACAAATTATGTGTCTGTTTGCTCTGGGTCATGGGAGTTGTGGATGTTGAGCAAAAGTCAAAGGAATTACATTGCAAAGAACTTAGAACATAGAAACCAAATACTTGGCTCAACTGTGGCTTGGAGGCAGGGACACCGTCACTGTGCCAACGGGAGCCTTTTACTCTTGTTAAATGTATTGGAACCAAGAGTTTTATTGTATTCGGGCAATGGACTCTCACCGGGAAATTCACCTCTGCTCTGTCTGTAGGTGCAGCCTGAAACTGCGGTGATTGGGTTTGGAGATGCGTGCTTGTACTGTGCATTTCTGTAAATAAAAGTTTATTGAAGTGTGAAAAGATTAGGGTCCAGTTCTAACCACCACCAAGTTATGTAGAAAAAAAAGCACTCTTTCCACACTCCATCCCTGTAGTGGTCATTCTTCATATGAAAGGCTAAGCAATGAGCATTGAAAGGAAGTTCTAAAGAGATCAGAATCAAGCCTGATCTAATTCTCATCTGTTATTTATACCATATCCTAAGAGATGGTATTTGATAATGACTAACAACTGCTACTTTCTCTCATCCGTAAACAGGGGGACCACTATAGCAATATCAGTGTTGATCCACTTGAGATCAGCTCAGTTGGAACATTGCAATGATCTGAGAGCAAGATTTCTGTTTAACTCAATCTTCCCTCAATGGTAGACACAAAACTCTCTTTTAAAAACAGCTGCTGATATAATACTAACTTACTTTTCGTGGCACTCATCTGATGGCTGTCAAAGCCTCCAAATGTCTCGGCCCTTCTGGGTAAGGATACGTGCCCTGTGATTCCCTCCTGGTCTGCATTGCCTGACGTCTGCTGCCCAATAGCACCTCCAAAGCTCTGAGACAGCACATTCTGCAGGGTCTCAACTGGATGAAGAGAAGTCAGTCAATAATTGAAGTAATTCAGAGCAAACCAAGAAAAACAGAACACAAGAACTGGTTAGTGCCATCAATCAGGCACATCGACTGCATGTTAGAGACCGAGAAAACCCACAGTTAGCCTAATTCGATGCTGTGCAAGAATTTCTTGGGCATAAGCACATACACAATTCTGACCTTCAAATTCCTCCCACTTTTGTGGGAGAAACAAAGACTTGCATTTATATAGCAGTTTTCACAGCTGCCAAATCTCTCAGAGCACTTTACAGCCAATGAAAGACTTCTAAATTATAACTACTGTTGCAGGAAACCTGGCCATCAACTTGCACACAGCCAGCTCTCAAAACCTATATTGTAATTATGACTAGATCATCGATGTTGACGGAGGGATGAATATTGGTCAGGGCACTGGGAGAACTCAACTGCTCCTCTTCAAAATATTGTCACAGGATCTTTCATACCTATCTGAGCAGGCAGATGGAGCATCAGTTTAACGTCTCATTCAAATCACCAGATCTCTGCCAATGTAGCGCCCCTTCCAGTATGACAATGAAGTATTGCCCTTGATTTTGGGCTCAAGGCCTGCAGTAAGACTTGAACCCAGAATCTTGTGACTTGAGAGATGGGAGTGCTACCCACTGACCCACAGGTGATTAGCACCAACCCAGTGCCTCAAGCACTGACCATGTCCCAGGAATTCACTCTAACTCCCTACACAACCAGAGTTAGAAAGGTTTCATCCTCTGATTGCAACCCTGGGAAATTCTACCATTTGACTGGCCCCACTAAAAAAAACATTGCAGACTCCTGCCGTTAGACAAAATCTACGGACCATCCAACAAATATTTGATTGGAGCTTTGGGTACAAGCCGATGATAACCAAATACCTTATAACCTGTTTCAATCTGTCAAACATCTCCAAATCATCCACCCATTGGTATTGAGCATTAAAGTAATGAGCTGCAGGGATTAAGGCCAAACACCGTCAGACACAACACTTAATTTCCAAGCCTTAGTGCTGATTGGTGAGGGGTAGTTGGAGAGAGTAAAGAATGTGAAAATATATGAATTTGCTTTAGTGGGTCACTGGGCATTGTGCACTATTTAACACACTCACAGATGGTCATTGGCTTTAACACCACTGTTCTACCCCCTCCCTGTATCCTCCAATCCCTGAGAGATCAAATATTTGTCTACATCGTCCTTAATCACATGCAATGATGAAACATTCACAACCCCCTGGGGCAGGGAATTCCAAAGTTTCACAAAACTCCGAGTGAAGGAATTGCTCATCTCACTCTGAAATGTTCAACCCCTTGCCCGGAGACAGTGCCCTTATGTTCCTGATTCCGCAGCAACGGGAAACAACATGTACATCTTGTCAAGCCTCTTTAGAATTTTCATGTTTCAATTAAATCACACACCATCCTTCTGAACACCATCATGCAAACCCCAATTCCTCAGTCTATCTTCAGAGGGCAACCCTCTCACCTCCTTATGGGTCCACAGTACTTCCACATGGTGAGAGCAGGTTAGCCCGGAGTGACTCCTGCAACCGTCTGAGAACAAATTCACTGTGAACATGAATGATGCTGTGTGGAGAGTTCACCAGAAACAATGGGAATAGGGAACGGGATGGCCTTGGGACCCCACATATGGATGACAGTAGAACATAGAAAGCTCCCATTACCTCCCTTCCAAAATGAAGCATCCTTTTAAATGGTAATGTCTCCATCTGTCTGTAGTCACTGCACACAAGTGCTCATCAAAGATCATGCACTTCTTTGTGTCATGAATTCGACACTGATCTTTCACCTTGAGGCCTGGGTTCAAATTCAACCCTGAGAGATTGGAGAGAGATTCCCTGATCTGCAAGAGTCTCTCTATAGACAGAGTTTCGTTGTATCAATACAGCACCTAACAGACCCAAGACCCCTTTGGTTGTCATTCAATTTGCAATCTTGTTGAAAGATGCTACAGGAATTGGAAATGCTACCCTGCTGTTTTAGGAGGTCATGGCAAATTTTGTTGAGGGATCCTTATTTTCCATCTAACCTGTTCTGGACCAGACCTGGAATACTTGATGGGCCATTAAAGAAGTTATTCAACTTAACCCCTAACCTGTGTGAGATCAGAGTTGTCATGTCAAAGATTTAAGTTACGAGGGAACAGAACTTGAAACCTAAAAGGAGATTGAAGACACAATTGTCTAAAGGCATACAAAGGGAGCAAACAACATGAAAGAGGTAAATGGAAGACATCACTCTAAAATACAGGACAAGGGACAGAGGATCAAACTAAAAGGGGCAAATGTAGAACAAATGCAAAAATCTTCTTTGCATGAATGGACTCTCTGATTGAGCAGTTTTGGGGAGGTAGGAGAATAATCCCAAAGTAACTGGGCTAGTAACCTAGGGCATTGTCCAGGGGAAATGGCACAAGAGTAGCCGGTGGGATACAAATTTCAATTAATTAATAAAGACCTGAAACTGAAGGCTGGTCTCAGTAATGGTGCCATGGAACTACCATTGAATGCTGTAAAATCCCATCCAGTAGTGCCCTTTCAGGATGGAAAGTTTGGTGTAGCTTCAGACCCACAACCATGGGCAGCACAATGGCTCAGTGGTTAGCACTGTTACCTCACAGCGCCAGGGACGCGGGTTCGATTCCAGCCTCAGGTGACTGTCTGAGTACAGTTTGCACATTCTCCCCGTGTTTGCGTGAGTTTCCTCTGGGTGCTCTGGTTTCCTCCCACAATCTAAAGATGTGCAGGGTAGGTGGATTGGCCGCGCCAAATTGTCTGTGGTGTCCAGGGATATGTAGGCAAGGCGGTTAGCCATGGCAAATGTGGGGTTGTGGGCATAGGGTTGGGGAGCTGGGTCTGGGTGGGATGCTCTTCACAGGGTCAGTGAAGACTTGATGGGCTGAATGGCCACTTTCTGAACCCTAGGGATTCTGCGTGTTTGACATGTTACTACCCTCTGAAACGGCTGAGAAAGTCACAATTAGGGATAGGCAACAAAACTGGCCCAGCCAGGGGCACCCACATCCCACAAAAGAATACAGGACAGACTTTTTTGGGCGTTGGGGTGGGAGCTGAAGAAGAAAACCTGAGAATAATTTAAAAAAACAATGGATGCTGAAAGGGAAGAAATTAGGAGCTTTCTGGATGGATGAACCAAGGGGGATGAGGAATGATCTTCCTGCATCCAAATTCTTGTGTGAACTGGGCACGCTCAGTCCCACTACTGAAAGTTGAAACTACAAAAAGTATTTTTCCTCTGATGAGCACAAACAATTAACAATGAACCAGAGAAAACAGACATCAAGATTGGATGAATGTTTGGACATGATCTGTTCTTGTCTGTCTGCATCTGCTGAGCTCATTTCCAGGCCTTCAGATTACACTTTGTGATTTGATTGATTTCAATTGAAGCAAATTTCCTGCCTGGTATTTCCAGGATACAGTCAGCAGTTTATGCACACACAGTGACCATATTTGCTGGTCAGATAACAGTATCAGAAAGCTACAAGACAGAGGCGGAGAGATGTTGATCTCTTATCTCTGTAGACAGGCTGCTGCATGTCTGAGGAGTGCACAGGCAAATCAGTTTTCTGCTCCTACTGAAGAGGCAGGCTTTTGTTTACTTGTTATCTTGGGATATGTGCTTTGTTGGCAAGGACAAAGTCTGCTGCCTTTCCAAAGTTTCCTTCAGGTAGTGGTGAGCAGCCTTTTTGCACCATTGCGAAGTGTGTTGAAAGTGTTGACCCAGAGGGACTTCCAAGATTTCAACTCAACCCTAATGAAGGTACAGCCATTTGTACTATGCCACTATCCCATAGGCATTCTTCCTGGCATAATCCTGCATTTGTCCTTTGGGATATTGAACTGTGGACACATGCATTCTTCACCAAGGATTACCAGATAGGAATTAAATGTACAGACTAGCACTACTCCCCCTGCTCTCAAACCTCGGACATTGGGATTCATATGCTTGCCTCTGCCTCAACCCCAGCTAATACCACCTAATGGTCTACACGCCAAGGACTGAAGCATGGACTTCACTGTTCCCCATGGCTCAGTACCAGCCTAGGTAGTGTATTTACCAACTGAGCCATTGGTGAAGTATACAGGTCAATGGAAATGATAAGACCAATAAGAAACAGGAGTAGGCTGTTCAGCCCCTTGAGCCTGTTCTGCTGTTCAAATAGGATCATGGCTGACCTGTCATTAGTTTACACTGTGAATGAAACCATTCCTTGGCATTACCAGACATTGGGATACAGGGCATGTGTGCATCGTTAAAGCCTAACTAGCCCCATTTCAAAATTGCTCATGTTGTCCACTCACGGCCTTGTCCTTGACCAAGAATCCTTGACCATGAATCCTGGAATTTCCTACCTAATAGGACCACAGTGGCCTGCCCTGGTTCAAAAAAAGTGGCCAACCATCTCCCCAGGAGTGAAAAGGAATGACTAATGAATGCTGCCCTTAGCAGCAAAACCTACATCTTGTACAGAGAGAAGGCTTTATATAAAATCTCAACACATAAGGAAAATTTCAGTTGCGTGTTCTCTCTTGGATGTGAGGTTCCACCCATTTGGGGTTGATGGGTCAAGCGCCACCATTTAAAGTAATAACTAGTAATTGTTTGCGGTTTAAGACCACTTCAAAGTAAGTTAATAAACAGAACAGCTTGGAATGAATTAGACATACAAAAAGTCATAGGAAAATAAGATTTTTCTCACGGGACTGCAAGTTGGCAACTTCCAGGACAGGACTGATCATGATTTATTGAAAGTCCTTTAACTTTGCCTGGTGTTTTTCCATTTCTACCATGCAGGCTGCCAGCTCTGATTATAGGTTGGCTAGTAGTGGGTAAATATGTGGTAATATTGTGAACAGAAGACCATCGTTCTTATTAGCTTGCCCTTGCAAACCACTCATCAGCTTCCTTACTGTGATTCTAAATTAAAAGTCCTC